CACCCAGGTAAGGGTTCATTGTGTTTGATCGCTGAAGGAGACGCATCACTTCCTGTCTGCAGCAGCTGTACTACCCAGTGAACAGCTCATCAATGAAGTTATTGATGGATATGATTGTTAATAAGAAATTACTAGTTTTGGTCAAAGTTTAATGAGGGGGAGGTTAAGGACATTTTTTATTATAATATTATTTTAATTAATAAATTTTTTTAAAAGTCTTAGAAATGTATTTAAAATGCTTTAAATTAGTGTTATAAAAAATTCACTGATATTGAAGTCAGGTTATGTTGTTAAAATAAAAAATATACTGAATTAATATGAATATATTAAGTTTTATAATAATATATTTTTAAAATAAAATAATTTAAGAAAATATTTTTTAACCAACATGTTTTAATATCCTTTTTTGTTGTATTTTTTATTTGCATTTTTTCAATATATTAGATATTTGTCGTCTTTATAAAAACATGTACATTAGATAAACGAGAGGTTGCTAGTATTGCTGCTACACAATGCAATGAGCAAACAACAGTTTTATCATTACTGTATTTTAGAAGAGATTAAATAAATAAATCAACAAAAGAATAAACAAATAAATAAATAAATATCAGCTGCATCAAAGCAGCTTGTTAACGTTTCAATTATTCCATCAAATATTGTATTGTTATTATTTTAGTAACTAAAATGATATTTACATCAACTAAAGATGTTCATTCAGAATAAAATTTACTAAATTAAAGGTGCAGTATGTACGTTTGATACCCAGTGGTTGAACTAGGTATTGCACCCCTGGTTCAAAACACATGCAAGAGCAGGTTGCCAGATTGATAAACACCAACAAAGGCTGATTTAAATCATGTTCTAAATAAAAGCACCGGCACACGATAGAAGGAATATTTCCATATGTAAAGTTTTTGTCCTAACCAATACCTGAAATTTATATTTTAGAAATGGCTTCTATTTCTTGCAGCTAAGCAACAGAAAGGGTACATCAGGTACACCTCTTGTGCTTTATTCAGTGTCAAATGATAATAATGAGAGTTTGAATGCCATGCCATGCCATTTATTGCTATACTACTGAAAGCAGCAGCAGATAGTTTATTTCAGGTCTTGAAAATAAAATAAACTGTTTGAAATTGAACTTTAGAACTGTGACTCAATGCAAGCCAACAAATATCAGTGATTCAAAATGTACATGTAATAATTTTAAAAAAGTTTAATATGTATTAATTTGATTATAAACCCTAAAATTTTGTTGTAATGCAGTGAGTAGTGACTATAATGTCCTTATGAATGGCTGTATTTAAATTTCTGTCATGTTGCATCTGGTGCAAATAGCCAAACTGCTTATCACTGCAAATGTGCTCACCTAATGTTTACTTTGAAGGCTTTGAGAGCCTTCATGACTGAATGAATCAAATCGAGGCAACCCGGGGTGCTAAAATATAATTGGCTAAACTGGCATTCGGCGGGTTAAAGGGACCAAAATAAAGACAGCCGTTCAAGCACGTAACTCACATTTTCAAAGCAGAATAACTGCCGTTAGCATTGTTTTTCAGATAAACAAGAAAGTTTACTTAGCATGTTTTTTAAATATCTGCAAACATATTATAGTTTTTTTTATGCTTTAGAAGACTCAAAAAGTTACGTTCAGCACCTTTAAATGTCCAAAATAATGCACTCTATAAAATATTATATACAAAAACATAATAAGCAATGCATATGAGTGTATGAAAATATATATAGTACATACTGTACTGTATGTATGTATACATGTGCATAACTTTGACCAAAAACTATGTTAAATGAATACAACACACATTAGATAAGCAAGCATTTGCTGCTCAGGGCACAACAAACAGCAGCAAGCAATCCAAGGTGGCACACTGTGAACTACGCAGCACACTTAGAGCCAGGAGCGCTGGTCAAACACGGCCACATGCATATGCACATCTGAGTATCAGGTTGGTAAGAGTAAGCTGTAACAAAAATGTATGAGAAAAAGATCTGCAGTTTATTTTAATTAGACATTAACGTTAATACACTGAGCAAGCTCATTATGCCTTTCTTTGCCCCGTGGTGGACCAAATCCCCACAGATCCGCTGCCATGACCGCTCACGCCTGGCTATTTCATCACTCTGACACATGCATTGCGATTAGACCGACTTCTGGAGAATATTCTACCCGTTAGGCCTTGAGCGCTCGGGCTTTAGTGGCAGAGAAGAAATGTGAAGCTTGGCCTGAAGGACCCGGACAGCAAATTACTCATTAATGTTTATGATTATCCAGCTAGCGCAACAATGCTCACTTATTCAAGATATATTAGATGTGTGGTCATCCGTGAGCTCGCTGCCCTCGAGTTGCGTTCTCCTGCCTTTCATATGTCAACCCAAAGTGCTTGTGCTCTCTGTGCACTTGTTATTAAATTACATGGGTTTAAAACCACACTAATTGGTTTAATCTGAATGCTGGGTTAATTTGGCGCTATGATGAGTTTCAGGGCACGGTTGTACTATCGAGTGACAAAGCCCTGATTCACAACACCACTGGAGAAAGAAAAAGCGCTTCGCCAACTACTACATCAAACAAAACCGGCTCAAGCAACCTTTCAAAAAGTAACTCGACATCAGAGATTTAGGGGGCCTTTAAACAACATTATTTTAAACCAAAATAACTAAACCTAATATCATTTTAATATGTTTATCATGCATTTCGGAGTAAAAAAAAATGCAACTAGGTTTTAAAATGCAAAGTTTTGAGACCTATAACATTACTGTCTTCATGTAAACTAAAGAAAAATTCATTTGATAAAAATGTTTATATGAAGTGCATACAACTAAAACAACCAAGCAGGACCACAGAACTATGAGTATGTTCTCAGGTGTGTAGTGTTTCTTACAAAGTTAAATCACTAACTACTGGGAAGTTGGCACATTTCACCATTGTGAGGATCCCTTAGGTCTCTGCTTTTAATGATTTAGGCGCAAAGTCTAAAGTGCAATGATGCAAAAGCATTAAGGGTATGTCCAAATCCACTTTTACTATTTTAAACATGAAGTAAATATGGTTTGCACCCTGGCGCATGGTCTAACAGGGTTGTATTTATTTTCCTAATGGGTTATGGATGTGTTTTGAGGATAACATGCATTAAACCAATCAGAGTCTCATCCCCTATTCCTATAACCTCCTAGTGCTTAGTGGCCACATAAATGGACAGCAAATTTCAGCTCTTAAGTGGCTATTTAAAATACTTTGAATGTTTTACATTTTGTAACAGACATACAGTGTCATCCCACAACTGTTTTGCAGCATATGAAATGTCCCAAACACTTTTTTAACTGTCCAAAATGTGAAAAAAATAATAATAATAAGTTTTTACTCTCTGATAGTCAAAACATGTTCAAAAAAATTTCTATGTTAAATATGCATTACAAAACAGCCAGGAAAAAGTGTTTTATGTAAATTCGGACCATGAGTCCACATATATGGACATCATTTTTCTCTTAAAGTGCATCATATCAAAAGATAATATTTATGTTTTTATTCTAATTAGGTTAAAATAAGCAGTGCTTGTTTACTTATAGTGCTTTTGCTATTTACATAGCGAACTTTGTTATTGGAAAAACTGAACGCTTCACTACAACCACTTAAACGGACCAGGATAAACAATGAGCTTCCTCCATTCAGTCTCTTTCTTTTTACTTTACTCCTTTACTTTTGTGAATAAGAAAGCGTTTTGTATACACTCCACTGAATACATCCATCAGCCTACATATTTATTTTCGGTTTGTTTAATTGTTTAATTTCCAGCAATGGCAATGGCAAAACTGAGTTATATCCAAACACACGTCCTATTTTTATGCACCATATGGTGAATCTAAGCTTGTTTTTATTAAAACAAATATAAATATGCATATAATAAATAATACTGCCAATAATAACATTATACTAATGCAAATTGTCATGAACAAACTGAAAAAGCCCCCAGACATGAAGAAGGCATGGAGGTAGTGGTTTCTATATTTATGTAGAAAATAAACATTTTTGTAACATTTTAATCCTTTATTTTTTTACATGTAGATATACGTGTGTGTCGCTGTACATCCTGTGTATTAAGCAATGTTTAAGTGTTTAGACCTACATAGGCGCATAACTAACGCAGTCTGTTTTTAGTTGGTCAATGGTGCAGTCTATTTCAGTTCCTCAAAAAAACAATGTACCAACAATGTACCTTAACACACCTCCCTTATAGACCGGCACACCCATTAGTCCACAAAGTGGTGCAAATGGATTTACTATTTAATAAATGTGGTGCACACAATGAAAATTAAGGTTGCGCTGGTCTATAGCAACAAATCGTGCAATACACGTGTCGCACCGGTTGTATGGTAGGGCCCATTGAAAGAGGACAATGTTGTATATTAATCTATTATATACTTTTTAGTATGCTATTGTCTTGCACTGCACTTTTAGTTAACAGTGCATGTTTCTTGTGCTGTGATGGGAAAAAAAAGGAAAACATGAGAGATTTATGGGATGTTTAAGCAACCAGTTTTCAGCTATAATAAATGTTTTAGACATTAGCAGTTTATTTGTATTTTAGGGGACCTAAAAATCCAAACTGTTAAATATGTTTTTTTTTAATATGCATTATTTAAAAACTTCTACTGCTATCTTAGTGTACACTACAATTTTTTTGAAAATTGTAATGTATTATATGTTCATTTTGAAGGCATGAGTGCTTAAAGATAGTGGGGAACAAAAGGGATGTATGCCTACAGTGTTTATTCACAAAGTGACTGCGCCAACTACTGGCATTGCTTTATAAAACTTCATTTTTAATTTGTGAACAAGGAACGTTTTGACAACCTTGTTGCATATTTAAGATCTAAGTCTTTTAGTATGTTATTCATTTGTGTGCTTGTTTTTTGTGTTATGTTGCACCAAAGAGTTAAAAACAAACATCTCCACTGAGACACACACAAACACACAAACTTACATCCAGCCAGGAGGTATTGATAGTACTGCACAAAGTCCGAGGCCAGCACCAAGGGGTGGTTGCTGTTGAAAGGTGGTTGTAGCTCATTCCACTGCGGTGTCCTACTCAAAACAAACACAAAAATCAATTTAGGAAGCGCATTTCAAAGGGCCAGATGTATATAACAGTCTCCAGCTGAGCTATAATGGACTCCAACTCTCTGCAGCCCGGCGGACCTTCCATTTGGCTCATCTCATGTGGGGGGCTGAACAGGCTATACAGCTCGGTACATACATTCATTTAACATGTACAATCTGATCAGAAAGCCATTCTAAGAGCAACCCCTGCCTGTTTCCATTTTCCTCGCATTATTGCATTACGGTTGCGCTCAGCGTCTGGGTTGGTGACAAGCCATGACGTTAATCATTTGCTTGCCCTCATTAAGGCGCCATATAAGTTGTTTTATGTAAATGATATGACTGCAGCGGGTTGTGTCAGGTGCTTCTGTCGAACTGAAGGTGAAGTGTAAAAGCAGGTAAATAGGTGTGGTGCTGAGAGCCGCGGGGCAAGACCTGGCTAGATTCCAACAGGCTCTCGGACAGGTGTTCAGCTCCAAAGGCGTGTCGTCACTTATCTTCTGGGCCGTGCTGATTGGTCGAGGCTCCAAAACGTGCTCCACCAGGTTGCCGTAACAACTCAGGATGTACAGCGATTCGACAACCGCCTGGCGAGACTGATCTAAGAGAGAAGAAAAGTAGTGTTATTAAAGGATAGGATACTGTAAGATATTTTAAAATGACCTCAGAATTCTTTCAAAGACAAACAATTTCTCTACACCGGATTCACGCTTAGAAAAGAGCATCGACAGGAGGTTTATTCATTTATTGTGGATTTTTTTTTTTTTTTGGTTTAACTCAAACAGAAAAAAAAAAATATTCAAAACATATATACAGCTATGGTTAAAAAAGAGGGAGCACAAATTCTCAGCTTCTCTAGATTTACCAGGTATGAGTTTTTATAGCTGAATAACAAATGTTTTCATTTGTTGTGATTGGAAGCAAGGGTTACTCCACCAAATACTTAATTCTCAACTGTCTGAAACATGCCTGAAAGCATGACACCTTTTTGTGATTTTTTAACTCTAAATTACAACATTTTTATTCAAAATATGTGAGAACTGTCATCATTATCATCACTTGACAAAATAAAATTGGCATTTTACAACTATAAATCATACATCCAATGAGTTGTCAAGTTTACTATTAATTTGTTCCAGAGCTGTATAAATATAATTGTGTAAGTAAAGATCTAAATAATACGCTTATGTACTGATACTAAGCTATGTCAAACCTTTCTCTCTTTTGATGTTGGGGTTGGTGATGAACCAGGAGCGGGATGAGGCAAATACTGCAGCCACACAAAACTCTCCACCGCTGGACTTACTGGGGGAGATCTGGGGAGGCGGCTTGGCTTTGCTACAAAGAAAATATTCCAATATAAAAAAAAACACAAATGACAATTATGATAAAAGACACAGAGGAAGAAGAGAACTAAAGAAAATCATCTTCTTTGGGGGAATGGCATCCAGGACAAAAATAAATAAAGCCACAACACTGACATGAAAAGAAACACATTTGTGATGTACAGTAAATAATCAAGACGGGACATTTCCTGTATATGAAGAGTTTCAAAATTTAAAATAAATTAGCCAACCACATAACAAATACTGTTCGCAAATGAATTAAATAATACACCACACATTTGTAGTTCATGCAGGTAAAAAAAAGAAAAAATATTATCATATTAATACAATTTAAAAACACATATAAATTGTTTATTTAAAATCTATCTATCTATCTATCTATCTATCTATCTATCTATCTATCTATCTATCTATCTATCTATCTATCTATCTATCTATCTATCTATCTATCTATCTATCTATCTATCTATCTATCTATCTATCTATCTATCTTGTTAATACAGGATTACCATTTCACTTATGCTTTATTTAAGTTAAGTTTTATTTAGCAAGTACAATTTCACTACAGCTGCCCGAACCCGAAAAGCTTGTCCTCACTAAATCTCTTTGTGATCTTGTTTTATATTTCTGTTCAGCGTGTATAATGATGTTGTTAAAGCTCAACACTGACACACACGCACACTCCAGGAGTCTAGCCTGTACAGACACCACATAATGGCTGTCATTTGCTTATAAAGCGGCTTCAAATGTAGGCTTTTAAGCAGCTTTTAAAAGGCCTCGTTCCAGTCTTGGCATTTGAGAAAAATGATTAGGGCCTATTGAATTATTCTTCATGTCAGTAAAATCTGAAGGCTGCAAGGAGAAAAAAAAGGTCATGAGCCAAGAGATGAGAATTTGCATGTGGAATTTATCCTCTAACAGCAGCCATGTGGTGATTGTCCGACTTCTGTACTGTAAAACCTGCCCTCTGTATCTCAAACATACAAGAACAGACTACAGAAACACTCACTATACTGGATATTTCACACAGAACCACCCTCTTGATCCCATCGGCCATGCACACATATACACATTCAAATAGGCACGAAAGGATGAGAAGGAAAGAGAGCAAAATAAAACAATGTAATGCTTCAATGTTTTCCTGTTTTAAACTTGCTTTAAGACTTGTCTTCTTATACATACACTGGGAAAACAAAAGATGTGATCAGGACTCGCATCAGACTGAGGAATCAGAAAAGAAATATACTGTAATTCAATTCAATTCAATTCAGCTTTATTTGTATAGCGCTTTTACAATGTAGATTGTGTCAAAGCAGCTTCACATAAATGGTCATAGTAACTGGAACAGTGTATTTCAGTTTTTTAGTGTTTAAGTTCAGTTCAGTTCAGTTCAATAATTAATCCTTAATTATTGCACCTGTATAAATTTCTATTATAAAAATTAACAATACGTTCTGGTCTTGGGGTGGGGTTTGGGTTAAAAAAAAACAGAAAGAAGGAAACTGTAATGTTTACTGTTGTAAAATAAATAACAAATGTTATTAAAATGATTAATAAAAATAATAATTAATTAATAATTAAAATAAAATAAAATGAATTAAATAAAACAAAATAAAATGACAATAAATAAAGAAATGCGAGTTCTTTCAGAGCTTCTTTTTTTAAAGCAATCTGTCTCAAACCAAACTTACAATGATAAAAAGTACAATTAATAAAGAACATTTGTGCATTCAAAACAGTTACTTGATAACAGAACTGATTGTCTATAAAAGCCAAAATATAAGGTACATAATGAGTAAGATGATAAAAACCGTAAGATAAAAAACACTAAAAACTGAAACAACTTAGCATTTATCCAATATTTTTATATATTTAATAATCTGATGTAGATTTTTTTAATTATATAATTATAAAATAAACGCAATATAAACAAAACTATTTTTTCATGCATTTTTCAAAGCTCCAGTACAATAAACCATGTGATAAAAACTAAATCTAAAGTTTGATGTTTTCATGTAAAGAAAGAAAGAAAGAAAGAAAGAAAGAAAGAAAATAAAAACATTTATTTTCCAGTACAAATTAATACTTTTATTCTGTAACAAATGCATTACAAAAGTAATGGTTGAGATCTTCTGATTGTCCTATTTATAAACAAAAACTTAAAATATTTATTCAATACATTTAAAAAAATCTATGTTTCCATACATATGTAGAAACATTTGTTTGTGTGTGTGTTTCCCCTAAAATATTAAGCTGCTGTATTCATTAAAAATATTGCTTGAGCACTGAACCTATGTATCAAACCGATAAATGATAACTAAAAATATCACCTGGTAAACTATATCTACAATTTTAGATGAAAAAACTTGAAGAGAAATGTTTACAATTTAATTAAATTTGTTTTCAGAATATTTTTCAAACTTATTTAATCAGAAATCAGACTCCAGACATCGCCTTTCAGCTTGAAGACCACTAATAAACGTGATTAATGGCTATGAATCTGATTAATGCATAGGTCCATTATATAATTAATTCAATTCAAGTTTGTAATTGAATGACAGCCTGAGTCATTATGCATTACAAGAGCAGATAACTGCAAAACAAAACTGCCGATTGTAATGAAATTGTTGTAGACTGCGAAGTCTGGACTGGGAGTTAATGTGGATGAATTGTCCAGTGTTTGAACCGGGACTCCTCCAGCCTTGCATTACACTAATAGGTGTTGAGTGACCTGTTGCTGAGCTGCACTCTCACTCTGTCACTTCCCTTAAAACTGTCATCGAGTCGTAAATTACTCTCAGGACGAGGAGTGATGCTGACATCTTTGTTTAGCCGACACCAGACGAGGACTGCTGGTCGGGAAAGACTAAAGTCAAAGTCAAGAAAGGCAGGGAGATATTGGCACGAATGTATTGCTGTTGGACAGAGGAATAACTAAACATCTGAGTGACACACATGGCTGATGAGGAGATACGAGCGGTTTGTCAGTATATCACCTAGACCGGAGCAGCCATGAAAGCTATGTTCCATCCACCTTTTATTATGCGCATTTTGGAATATAGTATAAAAAAATGCTTAAATGGAAATGCCAAGATGCACATGTATTTTGAAATGTTGGAAAACTTACAGTATGTGCACAACTGAGCAAGATAAACTTTTTATCCGATAAGAAAAAAATGTGCATAAACTATAATGGAAACATTTACTGATTAAATTCCAGCAAAGAGAATGTATGTAATTGTGTATTCACTTGTTAAGACTGACGTCAAGTGAAGCAGCTACTGGGTTCAAACGCTGTACGGGGAGGCTCAAAAACAAAAACAAAAAATAAAATCAACAAATAAATCAACAAAATAATAATACAGTAAACATTTACAAAGCGATGTAATACTTTAGAAAATCCTGATGGTAATATACAGTATACAGTATATCCAAGCAGCAAGTCCAGAGACTGTTGTGTACACCATCATCTTGTAAGAAATTTACTTTAATGTGTAATATGTAGAGGTGTGAACCTACACTTGTCTCACAGTTTGGTTACAATTATC